AAAATATTTTTTAAAGAAATAAAAAAAAAAATGTAGTACAACAAGTTGATATTTGCGGCAAAAGTTGATAATAGGAATTCTATCAAAAGTGTTTTTTTTCACTTAAATTTATTGTTTACAAGCTAAAATCTGCTAAATTATTTTAGTAGGTAAAATATAAATAAAATTACGATAACAATAGAATGCGCATGTTTGTGTATTCGGTATAGCATATTTTTTCTTACAAATTTCTGAGGAAAGAATAGCTACGTGTTTAGTTGGTTGCATATATGCACTGTTGTTTTCAATCGATTATCTTTGTTCTGAAAGTAAAATTTTCAGCAATCATGTTTCAAAATCAATAACGTTTTAATAAAAAATACAACCAGCACACCTGTTTGTCAAAAGATTTATGAAAAAAAATCTGCATTAACCAAAATTGCGTCAAAGCACCTTGTGGATTTAAGTGGTTTCAACGTGAACGTTGGCATCCTTATTTCAACAGTAACTTTTAGATTTTGGAAAAAAAATCAAAATTTTACTACGAAATTTTACAATTTATCATAGAAACTTCAAAAATCAGAATTTATTTATTCTGTCAGTAAAAACTTAATTACGTCATCTACAAACTTTTTCAACTAAATTTTAGTTGAAGTGTGGGGCTTATCAATTTTTTCATACATTTCTATTTTTAGATTGCCCACGAAGAATATCCCAAAATAATCTAGGAATAATTTATTTCCACCTATCTAATAGCGCTCTAATTTTTTAATATTGTGTAAGTAAGCAGACAAATAGGTTTAGGTCGCTACTATAAAACTAAGTCTTAACAAAACACCAGATTAAAATTTAAATGACAGGTGTGCAGCAAAGTTAAAATTTTCGCAGCTGTAAACAAATATTTATAGAGACATCACAGTAGGTTCATTAACGCTGACCGATATACTGGTAAATACATCTACTGAATATTTCCAAAGATCATTCATATTCATACTCACGACCGATGTTTTATATTTTGAGTTGACCAAATGTTTCTCATCGTTAATCACAAATAATCACTTGTCAGTCACATATGTAAATAAATAACAGATAAAGTCTATACTAATTAAATAATAACTGTATTTTTATCGTCGTTTAAAACACATTATGCAAAAATAAGACTGTCAATAAAACTATTATTATTGACCCCACAACGCTGAACGCGCGAACTACAGGAATTGTGAAAGACGTGTCACAGCGGTCACAGAATGGATTTTACGCATTATAATATGAAAATTATCACCGCCTGTCATTAATTGGAACCGTTATGTAAAAAATACAAAACGTGTCCTTTCGTTTTGTCCTGTTTTGTTTCATTCGATTAAATCCATATAGAAACGGTATTTTTTTATTTGTTATAATTGTTCATGTAATAATAATAATAATAATATATTGATTAAAAATTTACCATGCTTACGATGACTTTAAAACGTCTACGTCTGCAAGATTCCAAAACTTTCAGTTTTGGAGATTAAAAATTAAATTTCAGAATGTTGCACAATTTTCAGATTCAGAATTCAAATCAAGACAACTAATAAGACTCACTTTTCGAATATTTTATCTCCAATGGCAGTTCTACAATGAGATGATCTTAAACATATGAATTCTTATTATTTTATCATTTCAGAAATAACAAAAAAAATAATTAGACTTGACGATTAGAAAAAATAAAATCATAATTCATAAGTAAGTTTTTATCAAAAATAAGAAAATAAAAAAAGGAAGGGTGGATTATGAGCATATTCAAGTATAGTACAACGTGATTAACGTCAAAATTTGTTATTGATTATTACATTAACCAAACTTTCTGAGTGCTTTAAACACGTTAGCAACGCAAGAAAATTTTCTCAAAATTGATTAATTCTATTACCAACTCAAACAGTACTTGTTGATCAAGCTGTAATTACTGGCTGTAAGAAGTCTATTTCATGTTGGATTTGTGATATCGCAAAATTTCGTTGCTATAGGAGTTGCGATGACAGTAGTTGCGATTTGCGATTGAGTTTCGCGATCGCAACTCTTGTCATCGCATCTTCCATAGCAACGGGGACGGCAAAAATATCGCAAATCCAACTTTAAATTGGACCCTAACAAATCCTGATTTGTTCTTTTCGAGTTAAAAAAAATTATAACAATTACATATAGTAAAATTTAAATTTAGCGAAACATATAATTACAAATAAAGTAAAAATAAATAATTACTTACTTATCAACAGTTTCAAACGCTACTATGCTTAGAAGGTATCAGTTACAGATTTACTCGTATTCAAAAGAAAATTGTTAAATAACTTGCCAAAAAAGAAAAAAAAATAGTTGACACCATCTATGTAAATATTACAGAATTTTTAAAATTAGGTAATCAGAAAAGTTATATAATGTATATAGAAAATGCATTATCTATTTTGTAAATGAGTAAACGAACGTTTTAGAATTAAAACTTAAATGCCGTTCTAAACTGGATGCAGTTTCCGAAGGATACGTTGCGGAATCATATTTGGTTATAAAGATTACTCACTTCCCTGGAGCACTTAATATCGATAAACGTTCCGAAACGGCTGATCATATAAAAATATATTTATTCTTTCCTCTAAAAAATTTATGAAGTTAGCTTAGTCAAAAACATAAAATAGATGTAACCTTAGGGAGTCTGTCTTCTCTAATGTTTGATTTAATGTTCATTAATCATTAATTAAATATCGTCTGCTGTTTGCACATGTACAGTGTGAATCACTAACAGCGGCCTCTTCGATATTTTGTTAATTATTAAAGACAGAAACAAACGGCTCTTTGAACAGCAGAAACTAAACTTATTTTCAATTACACAAAACCTTCTGTTTTAGAGAACAACATATCTATAACTAAGTTCTTTTTTAATAGATCCTCCTATATGTATAAGGTTTTTATAAATGATTCTAAGGGCGTAGTTGGCCATGAATTTCAAAAATCCCGCTTCGCTAAAATTATGCCTCATTATGACAATTCTCATTTGTGAATAATGTCATTTGTAACCTGTCATGTAAAGTCATCGTTTTTGTTGTTTCAACGTTTTTCAAGTGTGAATTACAATAATTCTAATTCTCGTTGATTCAAGCTCAAAACAACGAAATGACTATTGTTTTCAAAACTCTTGGTGCTTGCGTACGAAAATTTAGTTTTTGTGCTAGGAAGTAAAGAGCGTGAAAATGGTTTATTCTGTTGAACAAGACACTTTATGTCTTGTTATCACAATGGGACATCCGTAAACGAAGAGTGAGTGTATTCTGTAACCGGTTATAAGCAAAAATATCTGACCAAATGCCAATGACTCGTGTTAATTATTTAAAACATAAATGTAACCTAAGGGATACATTTATGTTTTAAATCTTCTTCCTTGTATCTTCATCTATTTAAAAATAGATGAAGATGCAAAGTGTATCACATATTAACGTTCAAACTACTACATTAAAGAAAAAATGAACCAAATTTGAGTATACAGACACATTTTACGGGACACCTGTATACCTAAAAGGCAAAAAAATCCTTATAAACTGATTTTTAACTTTGATTTAAATTTTACGTCAATTTATTATTCAATTTCGCTGTGTCATTAACAACTGTCCTATGAAACGTCCCTTTTAACATTGCCTATTTTGTTTTCTTACTTGTTGTTGCTTTCAGGAGCAATAATTTTTATATTTAAGTTATTTTTAGAATTTTATTTAGGTACGTATTCGCGTATTCACGCAAAAATGGCATTTCCATTAGAGGAGAAAGTGTTTCTGATTGAGTTGTATTTTCAAAATGGACAGAAAGTCAACTGTCTATATGAGTACTAGAGTCAAGGGAGTTGGGATGAATTCTGGAAAGGATTTCCCAATAACATCATCGACTATGACCATTTTTGCAATTCATTACAACGATATGTGACAAAGTTCCGAGAAACCTCGTCTTCACAAACAAAGAAGGAGAAGAAGAAGAAGTGGAGATTAATAATTAACAGAAGAAGAAATTTTGGCAGTTGTTCTACCATGACAAAATGAAAGTGGGTTATTTTCAACAAGACTAGGTTACAGCACATTCGGCTAGGACCAGAATGGCAATGTTATAGGAATTTTTTTACAAAATATATAGAATATCTTCTTCCCAAGATTTTGTGCTCGTATTCCTGCAGACAACTAGGTACTCGTATTTTTTTGCCCCATTTAAAAAATACTATTCATAGAACGTTCATAGAGCAATTTTGAGGAACTATGGGTAAAAATAACAGAAGAAATTAACAATAAAGACAATAATACAGAGATGTTGCAGCAAGTGATCGATAGAGTGAAACGAAGAGCTCAGTTGTGTTTATAACAAAATCGGCAACATTCTCTGAATTTACTGCAATTTGATTTTATTTATTCTGCAATTATTATACTGTATCCACTAATTTTCCTTCCTTTGCCTCACACTTGTTTTGTTATTGTTGTTGTCATTTTTTGACATTTCTTAGAATGGTTTAATCACCGACATGCTAAATCCTTTCCAAGTATGATTCAATTACCAATTATTATGTTCGTGCTCGCCTGATATTTTTAATGCGTAATATAGAATTTCCGACGGAAATACGAAAGACTTTTTGTTCTAGTTTAACAAATTAAGGCGAAGAGCGCAATTGAGTGACAGACTCGGTATATAAAAAAAAAACTCGAGTAGTAACTTTTACTATAAAAGTTATTTGTAATTTTGAACTAGGTTGAAAGTAAACACAGAAATCAACTTTCGCATTTTAAGTATTTTTTAAGCTCTGTTTTATTAAAAAAAAATGCATAATTCTATGGCATTTTGTAAAGAAAACATGCGGACTGATATCGCTTAGAAATTTAAAAAATGTTAGCTCCAAGTGCCCCTTTTTGTACTAACTATAACAATTCCTTCGTCTAAATTTTCTAGCGCAGAAGAATAGGTATGCAATAACACATTTATCTACTAAAAGTTGACCTTCTGATCTCTCTGTCACTTACCTAAACACGCCACAATAAGAATGCGAGTTATCAAATCCCTGATCCGGGGGCACGATCCGGTCCAAAAACCTGGGAGTCAAAGCCAGTGACGCCACTGCAGCCAGAAGCCACTGGTCTCCAAGCTCACCAGCCTCCACAGCAAATCGCATTTCCCCGGAGTTCTCGCTAACGAATCTCGGCCTTTGACACATTTCCTGCAACAAAAAACGGAGGTAATCACCTGTTAACGGCAATAATGACGGCTGCCGTGGCTCGTTAGTTGGTCATCATGTCGGGTCAAAGTTGGTTGGGACACTTGTTCCATGTCGCTGCGAGGTCAACAGAACACGAAGAGAGGTAAATACTTCGGTACGCGTGCTAGGGGAAGGTGGCTAGAATTCGGACCGTTCACTTAAAAGTTTTAGAATTTCGGGAATAATAACGCACATGTTACTGTTTCCAGTTGTTTATAAAATGACCAGCTTTCAACACGTATGGCAATATTTTGAACTGAGCGTTCGGTACAAGATTAATAATTCCTTAACTAACGTTTTCTTGAAAAATGCTCAGGGAGATAAACTATATTTTTCAAAATGACATGTTCTGACGTACAAATTTATTGTAAGAGTTGTAATTGTAACCGTCATAGACTGAATAGCCAGATCCATAGTAAGAAGAATAGTGGTAAATTTTCGGAACATACGAGATTTACCTACACGAGGTCCACTATTATAATTATCATTATTTCATGAAAAGATAATTTCATGTTTGAAACATCTTATAGTCGACTTTCTGAAAAGATATTTCCGGTTATTTTTCAATTTATCATTGTGGTGTTTCGAAAATTTATGTAGCCTTGAGCTAATTTCATTGCGAAATAGATGATATTAGATTTTTCAACTCATATTGGCAATAAATGTGACATAATAGAAATGTGTGTTTATCTCCATTATATCAATTAAGAGTTTAAGCAGGATTTTTTATGTTTTTACCTGATGTACGAATCCGCTTTGAGTTTTTCCCTAGCCGTCAAAATTTTTACAAAAACAGAATGCGCGGTATAATAACAATTTACCATTCGCTAAGGCACTCCATTTGTGGTCCAGTGGTTACGAATCAGGAATCCGGACCGGACGGCGCGTGTTCGATTCCAAACTTGGTTTTTCGTTTTTTTTTTCTCTTTTTCTCTCGAATTGTTACCCCACTTTCTAGAAAAGGTGAGAATACGCCCCCCTTTATTTAAAAATGTAAAACCTTCTCGTGGGCGTCAAATACCTTTTTCAAGAATGTGAAACCTTCTCGGGGGTCCCAACTGTCTTTTTTAAAAATGTAACACCTTCTCGGGGGTCCCAACTATATCTCTTTTTTAAAAATGTAAAACCTTCTCGGGGACCGAAATGATTTTTTTTTAACAACGTGAAACCTTTTCAGGGGTCCCAATTGTCTCTTTCAAAAATGTTAAAATTTCTGGGGGTGCCAAATGTCTTTTGTTTAATGTCATACCTTCTCGGGTATTCATACTGTATTTTTTAAAGATGTAAAACTTTTTCGGGGGCCCCATATGCCTTTTTTTTAATGTAAAACCTTCTCGGGAGTCCCAACAGTATTTTTTAGAAATGTAAAACCTTTTCGGGGGTCCCAACTGTCTTTTTTAAAAATGTGAAACAATCTCGGGGCCGAAATGTGTTTTTTTAATATGATACCTTCTCGGGGGTTCCTACTGTATTTTTTTTTAATGTAAAACCTTCTCGGGGTCCCCAAATGTCTTATTTTAAGCATGTGAAACCTTCTCGGAGGTCCCAACTGTCTTTTTAAAAATGTAAAACCTTGTCGGGGGTCCCAAATGATTTTTTTGAGAATGTGAACCTTCTCGGAGATCCCAATTGTCTCTTTTTAAAAATGTTAAACCTTCTCGGAGCTGCCAAATGTCTTTTTTTTAACGTGATACCTTCTCGGGGGCCCCAAATGTCTTCTTTTAAGAATGTGAAACCTTCTCAGAGGCCCCAAATGTCATATTTGAAAGAATGTGAAACCTTCTCGGGGGTCCCAACTGTCTTTTTTTAAAATATAAAAGCTTCTCGGGGGTCCCAACTGTCTTTTTTAAAAACGTAAAACCACATCGGGATCCCTATTGTCTTTTTTTAAAATGTGAAACCTTCTCAGGGGCCTCAAATGTCATATTTTAAAGGATGTGAAATCTTTTTGGAGGGTTCCAACTGGCTCTTTTTAAAGAAGGTGAAACCTTCTCGAGGGCTCCATGTGTCTTTTTTAAAGAAGGTGAAACCTTCTTTTTTTCTGTTGCACTGTGACTAGTACCTTCTATATTGATTTTACTCCATAGAGATTATCACGAAAAAATAAAATTCCGCAAAATCAAATTTTAAAAGTTTTCAGAGAAGCAGTATTTGTTGGACTATACTTCAGAAGCGAGGGAAGTTCTTTCGAAATAAATTCCGAGTTAAATGAATTTTATTAGAAAATCCAATACGTAATATGATGCTTCAGTTGAGATGCTGATTGTGCGTTGGAAACTTTTTCTCAAAATTGCACTCTTGGAGACCACACAGTAACGACAATAATCATAATAGTGCTATAAATCTTAGTAGTGTAAAATAACAAATATCTATAGTACTTGGAGTATGAGTGATATATTTGATGTGTTGAGTATGGAAAGTTAAATAACCGTACATAAAGCCTTTTATTTGAATATGATTATTAGTTTGAAAACCGTAACAATGCTCACTATAGTCCTGTGTACATACCATAATAAAATCATAGTACTCCCCATCAAAAACGTTTTAACTTTTCCTTCTAAAATAAATTTTGTGATATTCTACTTGGTAACATTGTGTATTTTTTAAATTCTATATCACTAAGGCTGCGCTTCGAAAATGTAATCAGGGTAATGAAAAGGACAACATAAAGGCAAAAGTGGGAGAAGTATAAGAAAAGGTGGACATCAATATAACAAGTGAGGGCACAAAGAAGATTGGAAACAAACCTAAAGAATAAAATAATAGCATGTGGGTATTTAAACTGAGAGGGAAATACAAGTTTCATAAAAATACATACACCGTCAGAAGAAATGGAAGACAACGATAAAAGCATGTTTTATGAGGAACGAGAAGAGGAATATAGAAGGATAACCCTGACACGATGTAAAAATTGTATTGGGAGATTGTAATGCTATGATTGGAAAAAAAAAACATCTTTTATTCAAAGATTGGAAAATACAGGAAACACCACATAACCAAAGATACTGGACTAAGACGAACCACACGTTTTTTTTATAGATGATTCTAGGGGTGTAGTTAGCCCTGGATTTAAAAAATCTCGCTTCGTTGAAATTATGCCTCATTGTGACAGTTTTCACTTGTTATTAATGTCATTTGTAACCTGTCATTTAAAGTCGTCGTTTTTATTATTTTAACGTTTTTCAAGTCTGAATTACAGTAATTCTCGTTGATCCAAGCTCACGAAAATTGTATTGCTGTACTAGGAAGCGAAGAGTGTGAAAGTGAACAAGACACTTTCATTGTTATGTCTTGTTATCGCAATGGGACTTCGTAAACGAAGAGTGTGTGAATTCTGTAACCGCTTGTAATCAAGAATATCTGGCCAAATACCGTGATTTACTAATTCAAGAAACATCGTTAGAGGCTCACATTAGAGATGTAATCAACAGATTTGTTCGAACTGGCAGGGTCAACAAAAGGAAATCTCGTGGAAGATCTTCAGTATCTGAGGAAGTTGCTGATCATTTGAGACGAGTTGAGCAGAATCCGCAATCTTTAAGAAAATTTCCTCAGCAACCAGGAGTTCCTTTTGGAACATGAAATTGAACAATGGGCATTGACGAATGGATTTCAGAATATTTTTGAAATTAAAAAGATAATGAACATCCCCCTTGAACAAACTGGTGAACATTTTCAACATTTACTGTGATGTTTAATGATTTTATTGAATTGTAGTGAATTAGTTTCATTTTTAAAAATGTATGAAGCATTTAGACAACCAGTTATACAGATGCGTGTGGTATTTGCCATGCGTCTTTGGGAATTTAGTAAGATCCAAACTGAGAGGCGACACTTGTTCATGAGCTACTTCGACCCTATAATCATTTATAGAAACCCTGTACTTTTGCATTGGAAAGAAATATAGTGATAAAGAACACGATTTGAAATAAAGCACGGCGCGTGGCGTCAATAAAAGAGAACGAAGAAAATGAATCTGAAAAGTGTAAAAAAGAAAGACGCTGACAAGAAATGCAAAGAAGGGCTCAATATACATATAAAACATGCACGGAAAGGCAAATCAGTGGCGGAGAATTGGAATAAAGTAGAAGAGTCAGTAATAAAATCAGCGAAAACAGCAACAACAAATGTTAAAGAATAATACCGAGGCAAATAGGAACAAGTACCGTAAAATCAGATAAGACGTAAAATACTTATGTAGAAAGAAAAAACGCTAGTAAGAAGAAGACGACATTAACGGAATACAATAGAGTATACAAAAATAAAGAGATCAGAAAATTTTATCGAGAGGTAAAAAAGTAGTCCAGGGGTTATTGTAAACAGGTGGAAAGAACATTTCAACGAAGTGTTAAATATAGAAAGCAGAATACAAATTACGTAAAACAATGCTGCATAAAGAAATGAACAAAATGAAGAAACGAGAGGGACAAGATAGTTTGGTAGTCACTTTGTATACCCAAGTAGGTAACGTTTCTAACAACTTAGCTCTCATTAGATCTATTAAAGAACTTTTAATACGTCCATTTACCAGATTTATCAGTGCATGCATCAGCAAGCATTTTTCTCGATGATTTTAGGATAGGCAATGCAGTCACTATACACGAATAAGGTAGTCCTAATTGACGGGCAATTATTATAGACCACCAATAGACCAATATCGTTATTACCAAATTTTTGAGAAACTTGTCGAAACATCACTATGCAAACAATTTTTTGTTTTCCTACCAGTTTGGTTTTGATAAAGACCTGTTCATAGCCTCAGTCACAATAACATTTATTAAGTAAATTTATTCACAGTTTTGAAAAAAAAAATGGACTTTTATAAAAACAATAACATTCATTCTTATTAGGTTTTATTTCTGAAGAGTATGAGTATATCCACTGATTGAATTACTCCTATTATAGTAACCTACTATGTTCTTCTACACACCAAAGCATATTTGATTGGAAATACAGTCTATTCCACAGATGAATAATAAATAATAATAATAATAATAAATCTAGTGTTTCTATTTTTGATAAAGTAATAATTTATATTATTATTGCAAATGAATGCATCTTCTTCTTTTGAGTTATGTAAATGTATGTATGAATAATTACTTCTGTTGTTTATCTTAACGTGCGTAAAATCTTTTATTAGCACAAATAAATTATTACATTATTTATTGTTGATGTGATTAGTTTTTTAATTTACACTTCTTATGCAACATGTAAGAGCATCAACTGGAGTTGCGGATGATTGGATCAAAATATACAGAAACAACACATTTCTACATCCAGCCACTTGTTTTTGTGTTAAATATATCACCAGAAAGGGTACCTGTGATATATTATAAGGGTCCATAAGGTCGGAAGTGCGAGAGAGGAAATGGTATTACTTCTCAAATTTCCTAATGGAAAAAAATACAGTGGGCTTTGCTTAACAAGAACTTCAGCAAAGGTGGATGCAGCATTACCCTTTTAAATTGACATGGAAGGTCGGATGTAGTAGCAGGATATATCGAAAAATCCATGAAAAACAATGGGTTTATTGCCAAATCCAGTACATCCAACAAAAGCTCATCGAAAACCAGTTCATCAGTTTATTATGAGATAAAAAAACAACTTGCGTCATCATTTCATCAGTCACAAAAGTTTAAAACACTAATATACCCGGAAAGTCAAAAAGAGATGCCATAAATGTTAATTGGTGGCACTTCAGTTTGCGTGCTACATAGCTAATTACAACTGCAAGAAGCATCGTTATTAACCTTCGGAAACGAGCGTTTTCGAATGTTGACTTGACGTCTGCAAGTTGTGTACGAAGAGTTTCACTAGTTTGGAAATTAATCCATTAGCTAATTGTAGGGTGCTTCTCGTTTAAGATAGTTCAGTAACACTTTTGAGTAAAATATCAAGTTATTCGTCCGTAATTGGATGTTTGTGAGTTGCTTTAAAGACACGAAATGAATAGTTTTCAAATTAAAAGCACTTTGAATGTCCGCCCTTTAATTTAGTTACATCCTGTATGATAATTTAAGAGCAAAATTAAGAAAGACATTAAGTGCCAAAAACATTAAAATAAGACGATGTAATTATAGTGGAACAAAGCACATTCAGCAGATGTTTTACGCATACAGGATATCCCAACGATCCGTAAACGGCAGATATGGTTTTATTGTTGAGGATATCGAAGAATACAGAGTTGTGTCAAGTTATCGGTACGTTGATTTTTTGGTGTGAGATGGGTAGATCTCTTTTAATTGCGTGTAGTAGAAGATACTATCACTAGGCAATGTTTCCTTTTCTCTTTATACGTACATTTCAAAAAAGACTAAATTTATTTTTTGTTGTGTTGTCATTATTTTATATTCTTGGAAATTAATAGTTTCAACGACTGCTTTCTAAACAAATTCACTTTTAATTGACTTGAAATATGTCTGTTGTAATTAATGATTAAAGTTCATTTACCTTGGCAAAACCATATATATACAGGCGAGTCACTCGTTCCTCATTATCACATTACTCATTAATTATTAGAAATGAAAAAAAAAAAAAAAACAAGATCAAAGTTCTGGCAGTTGAAGCTGGCAGGCGGCAATCCTTATTTTTTCTCAAATCATGAACCAATGATCTCAAAAATATAAGAATACAATAATGTCGCGCCTGCCTATATTTAATAATAATAAAATTTTTTTTTGCTCCATTGCAGCTTAATTAATTACTACTACTACTCCGCTTTGAGGAGACAAAATTAATCAAATTTCCTTTTCTTTTAACGCAGATGCTTGTTATCGGAACGTGTTAATAGTCGAATTCTTTAGAAGTATAAGCATAAACAATGCCAGTTCCGCATGTATACTGAGAGTTGCTGATACAGGCTGATTCAAACAAATTAAAGAATAACGCAGTTTATTTTATTGATCAAATTAAGAACGCCTAATCACATTTCCCCGAAAATTTAGGCATACAGTACCGTACCTGTCCACATTAATGTGTCCCTATATAATATAAACTAATCTGGGAAAGTGAATTTCAATTTTGCAGAAATTTTAACGCTACTGGCTTCTCTAGTTAAAATAATTGGCAGACAAAAGTACATTACCTCTATGCGAAAAGAAATACATATTATTATAAATAATACCAATATCTATTTGAGAATTACGGATTTTATCTCAAATTTTTGCTGCCTTTTTCAATATTTTAAACGTTATAATTAGTGAAACTATAGCGATGTGTGCTGCTCTCACGAAGCTAGTGAAATGAGTAATTTTATGTTCTATTATATACAAAATAACGAGGCAGCAGTGAAGTGGCAGCAGCAGAAGCTTATACGACGAAGCTTGTGTCGTTTAAATTCAATCATCTTTTCAGTAGTGCAGGGCAAGTATTTCAATTTTCTATAATGAAAAGCTCTGGAGATGCGAAGAATGATCAAGATAATTTTGAAAATATGAAGTAAATAATGATGTTACAATTTAAAAGAATAATTTTTCAATTACTCTTAGCTCTGGTATTTTCATATATAACATTAAAAAGGCCGACTTCAATAATGACTATATAAAAATAGTCATTTGCGCAATAGGGACTTGAAAGTTGGAATTTGTCATCACAAAAAGGGGGCTCTCAAGCCGCGTTATGTTAAACAACTTTATTGATAAGTTTAGCATACAGGGTGGCGCATCCAAGTTTAGATGTAAGGAATTAACATGGAGAATTGAGATTTATTTTATAATATTTCAATTTTTTTCAAATCGTTGCACTCACTGTAAAATAGCATTAAAAATTGTATTTTGAAATTAGTGCTGATTTCAGAGTGAGGTAGCGCAAGAAAATCTCTAGCTGCCGATGGAACTCTTGAGCTGCTCGAAGGGCTTCGACTCGGGCCCCTTGGATACGGGTGAGTATAATCGGAGATGGCTCGTGTGACGGAGTCGCGCACTACGACCACGAGTTTCGTGGAGGGATTCCTGTGCTGCATCGAGCACCAAAAATACACCAATTTATGCATTTATTCCATTTAATTTGTCCTACCATAATTATCATAGTTTTTAATTTGTTTTTGTGGTTACAATTATTGCATATATTTCGAAATCACCCTGTATGTTACTGTTATAAAAGTTTTATGCCACGAACATTCTTACAATGCATAGAAAACTGAAAGTAATTGCATTCAAGCTTTTGTATAGTATTTTGAAGTCAGCATTTTGCATTCGTTCTTGAAATATTTGTTCCACGCGTTGTAAGTCGCAAGCGATAAGTCAAACCTTGATAAAAATCTTGCATCCCTTCTCACCTTTAGCCGCAAGCTGGCGCATAGTAGGCATTAAATCTAAAACTAAGTGCTTACAATTTGTGTCGTAGGCGCGCCACGAAGCGACCAATTAAAATATTCCGTGATGATCGTTAAGTTTCTCAAGTGCGAATTCTTCGTGTCTGTCGTTATTTTTCCTTAATAAACGTCGGAAACGGCCACTTTGTCGATAGCATCGTCGGAATTGAAACTCGTCGCTGCCGTACAGATAATCTTCTCTCACTCGTTAAAAAAATCGCGAGATACTATCTCTTTCTATGGACGAAAAAAAAACAATCTCCAAGTTCGTTTATGCGGTAAGCAATCGTTAAAATAGTCACAGATAATATACGACCGTTTTCGCAGCCTGTTCAATGTAATTTGAGACTAGTTTTTCCCTTTAATTGCTTATTTATGGCGTTTGGCGCGTACGCCACTAAATTATTTTATCTCATCCGTCGTCGATGTGTGGGTTTTCTTGCGGTTGTGTTAAAGATGGAAAGTGGACATACTTACGTGAGGCCTCATCCAGACGATCGGTTGCAAAGGCGGTTTTTTGTGGTGGTAGAGGGCGCGAGGTCCAGCTGGAAAATCGGGGTCTTCGAAAAGAGAACCTCTTTCGCGACATGCCCGACGGATGGCTTGGTAGTTCGTGGAGTGCCTTTGGCGTTCGGTAGTGCAGTATCTGTAAGAGCATGTCGTTAATAAGCAACTGTTGCTTGCTGTCAACATTGCGGCAACAAATATTACTTCTTACGAAGAAAAAGAAAAGGAGGAAATATCAAATATACGAGTATTTACATGATCGTTAATTTTTGTGTAAAGTGTATTTATTGTTTATAATTAATTTTAACAATGAACGACAATAAGTTATTCAAGAAACGAAACTATGATTTTTCAATGAGATCCTTACACATTTCTGTAAAAAATGATATACCACAAGGTAGCGTGCTGTATTTGGAAAACATAAATACAGGTTATACATCTATTGTCAAATATATATGATAAGTATTTAAAGATAAAATCACGTTCTACAACGACAAGGTACTGGTTTCTGAATTAAGTACAAGAGAAGATAACTGTTTATGATTTCTTTTTTTTGTAACGTTTTATTCGTTCTCCTATTTTACAATTTAACAAAGTTTTAATTTTAATTTTACCCTTTACAGTCTTTACATTTAATTGTACTCGTAGTTTTGTATGCATATTTTTATTATATTTCCCTGTGGGGAAGTTATTAAAATTAGGGAAAATTTTCATTACATCCATTATTTCACCAAAGCTCTTTATGTGACTGGCAGCGAATTGTCTACTTGCTTGTATATTCTGGGACTGATAATAGAAAATTAGGAATTTATCATTGACATTGATTATTTTTATTCAGTTCAATTAGAGATACTTATAATTACTTTCAAATATTTCCTTTTGAAGGTAGATTCGTTACGAAAAAATTAGTCGAGGTTTATTTCGACAGAACTTCCCTCACTCCTGAAGTACACGTTCAACACATCCAGCTTCTTTGAAAAATGATAAAATGCGATTTTCTGATGTTTTTTTTGTGATAATCTCTATAAAGTAAAAACCAGTGGAATAAATAACACCCCTGTAGCCTCTGCGCCGTGGGAGCGCAAACTGCTTGCAATTTCCCTTAAATATTCCTCGAGATTGTGCAAATAGCACAAGTACGGGCAATGTAAAATATATTTAAAACAGATAACCAACTTGAAAAAATGGCCTCTCAGCAATAATAAACAAGCTTTAACTTCAAATGATTGTTTACATATCGGAAGAATGTCACGTAGAAATTTGTTCGATTTGAATGAGATTGTCGCCTCAAAACAGAGGACTAAAATTAGTAATTAAGCCACAGTCGAACAGAATGTTCCGAATATTATTATTAGTATTATTAAAAAAAGACGTGCGTATTCCCACCTTTTCGAGAAAATGGGGTGATTCGACACCATAACATCGATAACACAGACCGAGAGAAAAAGAAACGGCAAAGTTTGACATTCGATGTGCTACGAACGGTTAATGGTAAAATGTAATTATGTGTTGTTTTAATTTTTTTGTGAACATTTGGCCATTTAGGAAAAAAAACTCAAAGCGGACTTGTATACCTCAAGTACAGGAATATATTACTGTATAACATTTAAATCATTTTAAAATAGAGTTCTTTGAAATGACGTCATCAAATTGTTGGTGGAAAGGATTAACCAAATTTTGGTTAGGGTTTTACGAACTACAAAATTTGACAACAATATAATATACAAAATTTGAAAACAATTGGTCCATCGTTTCGGAGATTCATTAGTACTTTCTAAGGAAAAACTTATTTTGGCAAGTAACATACCATCTAAGAAAATAGAGGGCGGGTGGGGTTAGCATTTTATAAGATATGACTGATTTTGACACATTTTTGAAATTGAGCTAGAGGTTTTCTTGTACATTTCGACATCCAGAATTAATTTCCGGCTTTGTTTTTTTGGAAATTCTTACCGTTTTATCAGTATCGTTAATTGAAATATGGCAATTTTTACTTTTTTTTTAAGTGCATGAAATAAGAAATAAATCTGATAGCAAATAGTATAACAAAAAAGTTGCGGCTACCGCCTTTTTTTTTCATCTTTTCACATCCTAGATTCTATTAGTTTTTATTCTTTTTCCATAGAAAAACATAATTAGCCCCGCCCACCCACCCCATCTCCATTTCAGTGATTGATTTTGTTCGCTCTGATTGAAATGAACGATCTTATACTAAACAGAAATAAATTTAGTCGTGGGAATGAGAAGAGTTTGGGTGCGGTTGCTACGATAAAACTGATTTTGGTAGATGACATACTTTCCAAGAAAATAGAGGGTGGGTGGGCGGGGCTAGTATTTGCTAAGATAAGACTGTTTTTGCAAATCACATATCTTCCAAGAAAACAGAGGGCGGGTGGGCGGGGCTAGCATTATATAAGGAAAAACTTATTTTGGCAGTTAACGTACCACCTAATAAAATAGAGGGCGGATGGGTGGGGCTAGCATTTTATCAGATATGACTGATTTTGACACATTTTCTAAATTGAGCTAGAGATTTTGTTGTAGATTTCGACATCCAGAATTACTTTTTTTTAGACATTAATATTTTATTTCTATCATTTTTTACAACACTTATAACTTAGATAATACATATTTGGACTTAAACTACACATTTACGAATTAAAACTAACTATGTCGGTGTATTCTATTACTCTATTAGCTAGCTATGTTATTGACTAACTAGTTACTATCTTGGAAATTATTAGAGTATTATTTACATTTATTATATGTTTTTCTAGATTTTCCGGGTCTATATTTACGCCATCTGAAAACTGTCCATCTAAAACTTTTGCCACATTAGTTAGTCTAGTAAAACCCCTATTTTTACCAACGACTTAGTCTAGGTTTTTTGACTGTTTGAGCTTTATTGATATATTTTTTTAATTTTCTATTAGCTGTACGGATTCACTTAGGGGTACTTTTTGTTTTTTTAATTTTGTTAATGTTACACCAATTACTTAATTCGTAGTTCTTATTGATGAAACTTAAGTTCTCGTATTGATGTCTGAGTTACATTAGTTGAGTTTCTTTTTTCACAATTTCTTTTGTGAAGAGGCGTTCTGCAGAGTTGTTCTATAAGATGTTTCTTTGTTAAATCTATCAAAATCTATAAAAAAAATTGAAAACAAATAATTATTTATGTAAGAGATACCTATTATTGACATTGAATAACATGCAATCATATTTTTTTATTTGGTCCTCTTTGACTTTAGTCTAAGGACTGAAAATATATTTAAAAAAAATTACTGCTTTGCCGCAAGGTTTGCAAAAAACACCATCTCCATTTAGAACCAAGTCTGAGTAGGGCCGAATCCACGATGATAGTTTGGAAGACATTTTTTTAATTATTCGTAATATCGCCAAGTTCGGAGACGAATGACGAATGGATTTGGAAATCGAAGAATGAAATACTTACAAATCCATTTTAAGTTTTCTCAAATTGTATTAAGACACAGACGCCAGATAGGCAGAGAGAGACGGAAATGGGAGACTACTTTTTTGGTACTCTTGAGGTCATGGAACGGCGAAAAAACAAAAGTGGCTATTCGTCCGATAGACTCGATTACCATACTTCCTTAACTTACCTACTACCTGGAAGTAAAAATTTATCGAAAGTTATTTAAACAGAACTTGCCTTTCCCTTGAAGTATAGTAGGTGCAAGATGTCAAGACCGAGTTTATGGCGTGCACAAGACCAAACCATGTGTGTAGTGTTAAAGTAAAGGTATGTGTTACGCGTGAGTTTCGTAATAATGTTTTTATAATAAAATTTTATGGTGGTTATCAGTTTATTAGCAAGGTCACATACATCAGTTTTAATTTTTTTGAGTTATTATGTATTAAAAACTTTTCTTGTATATTTAAGACCCGGTTTACAGAAGTTCAATTAAATTTTTAACTTGGCGTTAAAAAGTACTAAAATGATCGACTTTACGTCCATTAGACGTCGCTAAACGCCTCGTTAAATGGGCGGTTAACTTAATCTGAGTTAAAATATTGTATAAACTGGCCCTTAGGCTTACAATTATTTTTTAAATAGTTGCAAGACGTCAGAACATTTGGTTTTGTAGCTAAATCGTAACATATGTATATATGTTTGTAATACAATTTTTTCTTTTTTCAAAAATCTAGATCTAGAGAAATTTGGGTAAGTGTTTGACTATCTACAGGATATTCCTAAAATGACTATAAAATTTAAAAATAATAATCAGTCTAGCAGCTTCCGAATTGTTCTTCCAATAAAATTTCCAACAGACTACAGACATACCGACAGACAGACAAGCGGACGACAAATAGACGGAAGACCTATTTTTTCATATTCTAGAGGCTATTACAATACTTCCCTAGCTTACACTCGAAAAGTAAATGGGGAAAAGTAATACGATACAGGGTTTAGGTATATAATATATATATCACGTTAAAATAGGCTTGTCAAAACAATGTACCTAAAAGACTATGTACAAAATTCGATGCTTGCGTTTTTAAATACGACCCAGTTGAAAATTTTTCTGATCATTTTGTTCTTTATTGAAAAATGCAAATCACGTCCAAAAATTATGATCGAAAACATGTGTTTTTATTTTCCTCCATTTATAAGAAGAAATGTAAATCTCTACAAAATATATAGAATGTTATGTTTAAAAAATCCGTTTTGTAGCATAAATACGCTTAGTACCGGGGTGCTGCGCTAGTACCTTATCGAGGGCACTGCCGTACGAAGCAAGGCAACCTCAACGGACCACCATAACGCGCTCTTATTGGCCCTATAGTGACTGCTATAAAAGGGTTGCGTTTGTTGTAATACATCGGAGTGTTGGGTTTGGCTGGACTGACATAACTCTAATATTCTCCCCCAACGATTTAGGATTGTGCTTGGCAGGGCGTACGTAAACTCCGCTTCCATCCTACGAATTGCCGCGTTTACGGCGAGTGGCGTAATTCCTTCTAAGCGGATCGCCCAGAGAGCCGCAATTCCTTTCTACCCGTGACAAGAAGGCTGCCCCGAGCAACGGACTTAGCCCCAGATTGTGTGAATTGGTGCAATTTCATCTGGACCCTGACGTTCATCAATTCTTATATTTGACTTGTAATACATATAGA